AGCCTGAGACGGTGACCTGTCCAAGATCACCTAGTGCATTTTTATGGCTGTTTCAAACCCTCGTCCCCAGAATCATAGTCCAACATTCAAATAGCTACACCATGCTGGCTGCATATGGGAATTATGCATAGTATAGTTTTAGGGACATTGCAATCCAAACTACCTCTTTCCCACAAACTCACTGAACTGAGACTCACAGGGATGAAGAGGAGGGAAAGGATGAGGATTGAAAGGTTGAAGAAAGAGAGAACAGACTTAGGACTTGTCTACACAGACTTTAAAACCTGCACTCATCCCGAGTTGGCTCCTGACTGTCTTCATGTTTCTTGTCTTCTGCTGAGTACTGTGAGTTAAACTGGGTTAGTTCAGCTTTGCCTCACTTCAGAAAAAGTCAGGGTTGCTTTGGAGTCTGCTTGAAATTATGGAGAATCCTGCAACTGAAGGGCAGCATGGACAGCTGGGTTCAGTTTCAATCCAGACAGGTCTTCAATCCAGATAGATCCACATGGACCTTTCCCCTGTGCCCATAAATGCATGGAAAATGGAATGGATTGTGCTTGTCACACTGCCATCACTGCTAACAGCCAGCTTCAGAGCTCCTTCCTTTTCCCCAGTTGCATAGACATCTCTGATGCCAGAATGAGGAGCTAGGAGCTCACATGGATCTCTGTGGCCAGATGGAAGGAACAATGGTGACATGGAAGGTTAGCTGGCATCCTAGCTGGACGATGTAGACTCCAGACCGCTGCCATCACAGGTTCAAAAGGGTACATTTGGTTGCATCATGGGCCAGTCCGGAGAAGCTCCATCCTGAACAATCTTGGTGTTTGGTGAGGATAATCTCAGTCCTGCAGTTTCCATAGCATTCTTCAAATTACACCATTAGCATTCTCTAGGAGAGCACCTCATCAAATGCTGCATGGAAGCATGGCAGTTAAAAGCATTGTCAAAACTGCTGTAAATCTTTGAGAGATAACACTCACAGAGACAGAAAAGCACGATGACACAGAGAGAGGGAATGTAGGTGGGAGAAAGAGAGAAAGGGGGCAGGCAGAGATGAAGAGACTGTCAAAAAAAGAGAAAGAAATCTGGAAGAGGAGGAGGAGGAGGAAGCAGAGACTGACAGAAAAAGACTGAGGGAAAGTGGGTACTCTTGCTTACATCTGGCTTTGAATCCATCCTCTACTTAGACATGCATCCTGAAATAATACCACTGACAGAATGTAACTATGGCCAAGGAAAATGAGATAGGTGCCTCCACTAGTGGAAAAGGTATTTGAGATTATTAATAAAAAGTAGATTCAGCATCTCATTAAATGGACCATTTCCTAAAATCAAATTAAGGAACGATTTTTTTTTTTATCGTACCAGAAGTGAACTGATGGTACAGTTGTACTGTATTTAAAAACACAAAGTTTTAAAAACTTGGCAGTACACTAAATGTCCTTTGACCAGTAGCTGGCCACTTGGAGTGCCTCTGGTGTTGCTATAAGAAGGTCCTTCACTGTGCATGTGGTAGGGCTCAGACTGCACTGTAGTAAGTGGTCTGAGGTTTGCTCTTCGCCACACTCACATATCATGGACTACACTTTGTGACCCGCATTTCTTTAGGTTGGCTCTGCATCTCATGGTGCCAGAGTGCAGTCTGTTCGGCACCTTCCAAATTGCCCAGTCTTCTGTGTGCCCAGCGGAGTCTCTCATCTGGTATCAGCCATGGCTTGAGGTTCTGGGTTTTAGCCTGCCACTTTTGGACTCTCGCTTGCTGAGGTATTCCTGCGAGTATCTCTGTAGATCTTAGAAAACTATTTCTTGATTTAAGTCGTTGGCATGCTGGCTGATACCAGATGAGAGAGTCAGCAAGTGAGAGTCCAGAAGTGGCAGGCTAAAACCCAGAACCTCAAGCCATGGCTGAACAGGGGATGGACCGGAGATTTCACTGCCTTGGTCCTTGATCCGCGAATTCCTGGCGAATCTCAGGTGGTGCAATACCTCCAGTGGTATATGTTGTAGACATCCTGTGATAATGCAGCACATCTCATTAAGAACCACATCCACTGTTTAGACTGGGCATGTCTACTCAGCAGCAGAGTAGTGAAGCGACCAGAGGCGACTTAAGGAATGATGGGATGTATCCTTATTTCTACAAAAATACAAGTTGCTTTTTCTGAGTGTTGCAGTAGAAATGAAATTCCACTTACTGTAATCAGACAGACACACCTGCTTTACTTTAAATTAAATGGGTCATTGGTGTGAAGCAGGGTGGATAGTGTAGATGTGAGAAATGCTAATTGCTGATACCAAAATAATTAGAAAAATGTAATTTATGGGCAATCTATTTCTATTAAAACAGCCAAGCTTATTAACACACACACACACACACACACACAACATTTGTCCAAGTAAAAGGAAGATGTGACCTAATTAATTATATATGCTTTGTATTGTCTGAAAGTCAAAGACATGAATATGATAGGATGGAGCACACATTAAGTCCCTTCATTAAGGTTTAAGGATGCAAGAGTGAATTCTTCTACGTGCCCCATCTAGTTTGATTTCCTGCTTCTTTCTTTCTGCTCTTGAATCATAAGGAAAATCCTGCACTGGACTTCTACACCTATTGTGATTCTGATAAATATCAATTTTTCCTCTCCCTGCAGGTTAAGGCTTTTTGAATAAAAAGGAACCTGCATATTAAAGGAGAAGATTCATTCAAAGTCACTTCTAGTTCTGTCCTCAGAAAGACTCCGTGGGAAGCACACTTTTCATAGTGCAAAGAACATAGTGCACATTTTTCATAGTGCAAAGGACTACACCAAAATGTAGATTTTTATATTCCGCCCTTCTCACCGCAGGGGACTCAGGGCGGATTACAGTATACACATATATGGCAAACATTCAATGCCAGTTTGACAGACAATGAATACAGACAATACACAGAGGCTATTTAACTTTTTTCTGGCCGCCAGGGGAGCTGCTGCTTTCATCGTCCATCAGCGACACCGATGAAGTTCTTCCGCATTCCACATTCTCTTTATGGCCTCATAAATTAGTTAATTTAGCCTCCCACACAAGGTGGTACCTTATTTTGCTACTTGACAGATGCAACTGTCTTTCGGGATGCAAAGGTTGACAACGGGCTACACAATGGCTGGACACCCACTCCAGCCCGGGCTGGCTTCAAACTCATGACCTTTTGGTCAGAGTGATCTTAATGCAGCTGACACTCAGCCAGCTGCACTACAATCCCTGTGTAGATGGGCCTTTTGGCCCATTTACAAAAAAACAAAACAAAAAAACAAAAACAAAAAAGAGTTGTAATTTTTTTAAAAAAAAATGTTAAGGTCTGGCACATTCCATTACTGGATTCAGGCCTGGGGCTTTGGCTTGCTTCCGGAGTGGCCAGGTTGAGTGCTCTAAGCTATGTATAGTAGAATCAGAGCCAGAAATGAGTCTACCAGTCTCATTAGCAGCAGCAGAGCTTCAGGAAATAGCTCTGGAAGCTGCAAACTGACTACTTTGCTTTGACAGGAATGTAATCTAGTACAATGATGCTGCCACCAACGGAATCACAATTATATTAAGCAAAGTATATTCTCTGTAGCATATAAAGAAAGGGAAGGGGAGGGAGAACTGAAAAGCACCATGGAAACCTAAGGCTGGCAATTAAAACTATGCAAATGTGTGTGCATTTGCATAATTTCTTCTGCTAACAAGAGCTCCAATTTTTTCTTTCTAAAAGGCAAGAATGTCTTTCAGCCACCAGTGAGAAATAAAGGATTCACAGAAGCGCAAGCAAGAGAACAGCAGATGTGTGAAGATATTGACTCTACAATTTCTGAGCAGTCACAGCACTGCAGAGCCAAGTTCTATCCCATCATCTCAACACTGATTTCAAGTCTAAACAACATGCCACATGTGGTGGGGTATTTGGGACTGGATTAATAAGTGATTTTTAAAAAAGTAGATAGGGAGTTGCCTTGTTAATCTGTCCAGTTCAGTACTGTCAACAGTACTGATAGTGGCTTACTAGGATTTTTAGGCAAGGTTCCTTTTTTATTATTATCAGGGACTCAATTTGTGATCTTTGGTAGACAAATCACTGAGCATATAACTCTTGCCCTATCACTGAGCAACAGCCCTTTAATCATCTTGGGAAGGATCCACATTAACAGGAGCAATGCTTTTGAGGGAAACTGGAATTCCAGAAAGCACTGGAGTCACTTCCATAATTATTGAGGTTTGGCGTGATCCATTGTCCCCACGTCAAACAGATCCACCACTGTTTGCTGGCCAGAAGCAGCTTCCTAACAGAGCCTTGCTGGTATTATCCCTTATGAAGATGACATGACTGTGCACCCTATTGAAACTTTATCAGAAATAAATGGCCAAACCCAGGAGGACAGGGCACTGTTCCTGATATGCTGTTGTCCCAGGTGTGTGGCTGTGTGGACTGAAAAAGAGCTTCAGGGCACTTCCACAATGGTACGTGTGGATTCCCTGTGTTGTATCTAGACCAGTATTTTGGTAAGGCTAGATGGAGACCATGCTTCCTGCTTTTACCCCTAGGAGATTTTAAATTAGTTGCTGTAGGTGTTCATCTCTGAATAAATGAAGCTGTTTTGTGGCTCAGCATCCCTGGACTTGTGTGGATGGTATCATTGGGTGCTCTGCTTCAGACAGTACAATACTTTCAGTATCTGTGACATGGCTGAATAATAAACCTAGGTAGGAAAGGCTAGGAAACTGGATGTCCATTTATGTGGGAGTAAACCTCTCTGAAATGACAGGGACTTGGTTGTGAGTAGATATGTATAAGGTTGTACTGTTGGAATTTATTTACACTGGTGCTGTCTTTCTATCCATGAGGTGCTCTGAATTGTTTCACAACATAAAATACAAAATAGTAAACAGAGCAAAAAGCAAGCCTGCACCCTGTAAATATTGCCATAAATATATGAGAAGCAGCGATCTAAAAATATGTTGCAAAACTCCAGCAGCAGTAGAATTATGTTCAATCGAAGGGAACAGAGCCAAGCTGGTTAGAGGCTGAAAAAGTCACATGAGCAATTGCTTAAAACTAATATTTTCCCAATAATTTTTGGACTACGCAGAAAATACACAGGAGTATATTTCCAACCACTCCAGGTTTCGATGAACGCAGACAGCTGTTAATGGCTGCATATTTTAAATACAAACATGTCCTTTGGAAAAATCCTTCAACATTTTTCAGATATAAGGTCAAATAATATTCCAGTGACCCATTATTTTTTTACAATCCCTGTGTATGCCAAGAGCTTTTATTTACCTTACTTAAAACCCAGCCATTTTTAATCTTGAAGTCACCAATATTTCACTCTCTTTCACACACACACACATACACAATATCCTCAGTTGTTCTGAAGCATGACATAAACAATAGCAACGGACTAACATCAGCCTGGTCGCAGCAGGCATAATAGACCATAGAGAGTTTCTCTTCTATCAACCACATCCTATTTTGGATAAAAAATCTGGATTTATGCTTGTTATTTCACTATAACACTACAGCTTTCCACTGGACAATGGGCTAGGTCACTACAATGCTTAAAGGCCCTTTGGAGGAATATGAGTCCCCAGGCACAAACATATACACAGAAAGCAATCTTTAATCTACTTAGTTACACTGAGTGATTAAGGCAAAGAAAACTATGAGCAGCTCATTGTTAATGACAAATCCACCCAATCTGCTAGATTAATCTAACACTCTAGGACTGTTTTCATTTCATCCTCTTCCACTGAAACTGTTGAAAAAGTCTGGGCTACAATAGTCAGCCTATCCTTAACTAGAAATAAAATATTACTGTTAAGTTCCCCAACTATTTTTGAGCAAAATTACCTGTAGGCTTTGAGGATTCGCTGGGCAATGGCATCACCTATCCGATTAAATACAACTTTCTCATCGGCACAGCTGATAAAAAACTGGTTCTACAATGTGGAAAAGGACAAGAAGAATTATTTGAAAACATTGACTTTTCGTAGCATTGATGTTACTGAAAGTTATCGAGGATGGTGACATCTGTCAAGGTAATAGAATTTCAACTGGGAATTTTGAATCTCATTTCATTAGCAATGAAATTATTGGGATGAATACTTAATGAATGAATATATATTTGAAAAAAAATCAGAATGCATCCATTTCCAAAACAATAAATTAGTTTGTATTTTTCGAGGCACGGGATTCCTAGCTTTCAAGAGACTATTTAAAGGGATTGTGATATCCTGACCCTCCAAGTTAAGATTAATTGGTAGAAACTATATGGAGACCTTAGAGTGAATCTGAGTTCAGATACAATTATTTCAGAAATGTTACTTTTTTAAGGCTACAATTCCCAGAACCCCAGAACTACTATCGGCAGTGTTTATACTGACTAGGAAATTCTGGAAGCAGCATTCAAAAAATATTTTCCAATTTCTGGAATGAATACTAAAATCCTTAGATTTGTCAACAGTAAACAACTGAATCAATTTCTCAGGTGAGGGGCTTTTGGAATCAATGTTCTGAAGTACAATAACAAAAGGTATGACCCAACACCTACAGGAGCATATCCCCCATGTAGTGTGCTACATACAAGTCCCATTGAAATAATTGGTGTCTAAACACTTGCACTTTTCCTTCAATAGGCTTTAATTTTAAAAATTTCACTCGGAGAACTGATTTACTCTGTGCTTCCTAATGGTATGTAAATTTAACAAACCACAAGCCACAGTGTCTTAGCAACAGCTACTTTGAGCCCTAATATTGAGGAAAAGGCAAGGTGTAAATAAAGATGTTGATGATGACATTGCTAATGCATTATACTAATAAGTGAGGGGCCACATCTGCAGGGAAAATAATTGCCTTGGGCACTTCCTATTCCTTTCAGGACTTCCAGACATCATATCAGCTTACAATTCATAAGATAGAAGCAAGATTGCTGGTTCTTCTGTAACCAATCCTTGATCAAAAGCGTGACTCCTTTTAACAATAACAAAGAGCTGAAGCTGAAATGCTGCTACTATTATTCATAGCAACCATTTAAAAATAATATCGAGAAATGTTTTTTTAAAATATACTCAAATGAATTCATTAAATATTTATGTACTTTTGAGGATGCTACACAAGGAGATATCCAGTACCTCCTTGCACAGTAATTTTGTCCCATCTTTGCAGTCGATGCTGGACTGTTCAGAGGCACTGTTCCCCCAGACAATGACAAACTGTGGGGCTGTTGCAAGTCATACACAGGTGCTGCATTATAGCTGGCGGCGGCAGGGGGCGGGGGGAGGGAAGCATGGCAGGGAATTGGACTGGATAGTCCTTATGGTCTCTTCCAACTTCACTCTCATTCAGATTACTGTTTCTTTCCTTCTTAAGTAGCAACAGCTACAAAGTGCCTGGGTGCGATGGATTTATTTATTATTACAGTCTCAGACCAGAAGTTTGGACCATTAAAACATTAAAATAAAGAGGCTTTTGAAACTTTGAAATCAACTCCTTAATTTTATAGCTACAGCATACTAGTTGGGGATGATCAGAGTTGTAGTTCACTCCCATTGCTCAACTGGGGAATACGAGATGTATTTTGGAAGAAACAGGTTGGAGAAAGCTGTACAAGAGCATTATTCCATCTCTTAACATGCACAATGCCTGGGTGCAACTGAACTGCCAGTCAGTGGGAGGACCCAAGCTGCAGCCAGGAGCATTCCAGCTCCCAGTGCTTAGTTGAGGAAAAAGGAGAAGTCTTTGTGCCCTGGTCCATCAGTGAGTGCACTACGACTTCTCCTTTTACGCTTTGCCAGTGATGTAACAGGTTCTTGGACATGGCCTCTTTCCTCATCCCAGCCATAAACCCTACAGGGCAAATATCACTTGCCTCTATATATATGTAGTGTTCGCTGTTTTCTATCACATTGACATAAGCAGCATGGATGGATTCCTCATGATACTTGATCCCAGCAGACCAATCAGCAGCAGAGCGAAGCACCTGAAAAAAGAGAGGAAAATATGACTTGACTGAAGAAACACAACTTTTTAAACATTTAGAAGATGAGTTTTTATTCCACTGCATTTGCCCACTCTTGTTGCATAAAGTGAAATATGAAGTGAAATATATATTGGATTCTTTTAAAAACTTCATTATTATGGTTAGCATTGCTACAATACTAACTGCTTCAGCCTGAAAGCAATGAACACAGAAATAGAAAACCCAGACTGACAAGAGAAGCTCACTGCCTTATGGCAAATCAAAAACTGCTTGAGGGTAAGAGCTGTTTGACAGTGGAATATGCTGCCTTGGCGTATGGTGGATTTTCCTTCTTTTGAGATTTTAAAAAGAGGATGGATACCCATCTGCTGGAAATGCGTTGTGTATTTCTGCATAGTAGAATGGAGATGACTCGATGGCTCTTGTGGTCACTGGGGAAGTCTCCTTAATCTGGTGCCCAAAGGATGGCCATACTAGCTGGGGATGATCAGAGATCATTGCTCAACTTGGGAATAAGGAATGTATTTGGATGAAACGGGTTGGGAAAAGCTGTACAAGAGCATTATTCCATCTCTTAACATGCACTGGTATCGAATGAGAGCAACAACTTTTAGTGATCCCATTGGAAGCTGCCATGAATTCTAACAGAAGAAAGTAATAAATAAAATAAACTTGTGGGATATCATCAGAGAACAGCATAATTTGATTTAAAAACATTAACATTCTTCATAAATAAAAGCAGAGATTAGAAACTTTCAACCACTAGAAATGTAAACCTTGACACAAGTCTTGTTCAAATGCCGTTCAGTGTAATGCAAAAGGCTGGTACTCCGGGTCAAGTAAAAATATGGATTTGAACCATCTGAGAGACTACACTGTGTGTCTTTGTGTTCAATGCAAAAACTTCTACCAATACATTCTTTCTCAGGCATTAGTAGCTGGGACCATTAACAACCTCAGTATATCAAAAGAAAAAGGTTATGTAATGTTAGTGAACATTCTATCGTTTCGATTTGATATGTGATGGCTGATAAACATCATTCAGTTTGAGGTGAAGTCTCTCTACTGAAAAATAAATTTTGTCTAGCTGGGACTCTCATCTGATAAAAGCACCGACTGTCAGTTTACAAAGCTTGGGAAAGATGGATCATTTTCAATCTTGCAGCATCACAGGGAAATGCAATCAATCCGCATGCACTGTCTCCAATTTGAAACATATTTGCAGTCTTTCCACTAAGCAGTTGCTACATACAGACATGGTGCGCTGCCTTAGTGATTTATTTCCCACAGTGGAATCCACAAGACCGTGGGACAAAAAGTACTAAGCTCGTGGTTTCCAATCTTGAATCCCCATATATTGCTGGACTTGAACATTCAGAAGTCTCACACAGAATGGCAATCAAGAATATTATCTAGGATAGGGATCAATTGATCACTTATACAGTGGCTAAGTTTTGTGTGACAACTATAAAAATAAGGAAGAAGTTTGTGGATGATTTTACTTGTAAAGTTTTAACTTACTCATTTTTTAATCCATACCTACGGCTTTTATAAGTGTCATATATGAAGCTGTGTAGATCAACTCCATATTATCGACTTTCTGATTTAATGTTATGAATGTCTGGTCATAATATTAACACTTTTTAAAAATCCTGTTCTTGATGTTTTAAAGTTTGGTTCCTGACCATAATAATAAAATTCAATCAACATGGAATAGCAGTGGTCAGGAATTATGGAAGTTGTCATTGATGACCCAAGTTTGGGAACAACTGTAGATGAGGAAGGTCTTCACACAAAATTTTAAAAATGCATATACATAAATAGCAAGCATATTGGTATTGATTTCTAGATTTATATATCCAGGGAATTACTTTTTGTTTAAAGAATCACACAAATCAGACTAGCCAAATAAGTCTAGTCTTAAATGACACTTGTTATAGGCAGTCCAAAGAAAGTATGTGCAGTATTTCAAATGCAACTCTGTTGAGAAATGCATTTCTTTCCATCGTATATTGCTTCTGTTCAAAGAGGGTCCTAATAAACAAAAAAATCTGTGGGACCTCATTGATCTGAGCTGTTAATGTATAAGCTGATGGTACTGTGAAATCAGGTCTATCAGCAGCCAGCCTCCAGTGTATTATGTTCTATGCAAGTAGGACTCATGATTGCTCAGACAGACAAAGCAGACTCAGTGAAACTAGGGTGCCCTATAGATCAAGCTTGAGAACTGACCCTGCATAGATGTGTCTTCAGGTCACCTGTCAACTTAAGGCAATACCAGGAATTTCATAGGATTTTATAAGGCAATACTTAAATGTGGAGTGAATTTTCCAGTTCCTTCCTCTAAAAAAGTGGTTCCCAACCTTGGTCCTCTAGATGTTTTGAACTTCAAATCCCAGAAATCTCAGCCATCTTACCAGCTGTTAGGAATTTAGGGAGCTGAAGTCCAAAACACCCGGAGGACCAAAGTTTGGGAACCACTGCTCTAAAGTATATTAGCAGCCCCCCTTCCAAGTACTAATTAGGACTGACTGTGCGTAGCTTCCAAGATCTGGTGCCTCTAGGCCTATAATACTCAGCTGATTTCACAAGCCAACACAGATGCACCAACTCCTATAAAACCCAGACTTTAAGGCGGTAACTCAATTGAAATAACTCAATGCATTAAGTATCAGCACAGATTTTCTTGCCTTATGCTTGACAGTGGCAGAGCCCTTATTCAACTGTGGGAGGAGCTGCAGTAAAATCAAGGATAGATTTACTGCCCATGCACTTCAATGAATGAAAACACAGCTGACAGCCAGAAGGCAAGGTTATCAGTCATAATCTTTTTCACACTCTGCTACTATAATATCCCAGAACCAAAATAGGCAGCCTTGAAAAATTATGTCCTTAACTGCCTGTCTGACCTGTTTAAAATTACTAATGAGCTGCAAGCTTACAGGCCTGCCAATTGCCTCTTTAATACAACAATTGCTCTGCCATTCATATACTTACATATATATCTGAATAGTACTCACTGCCTGCTTCTGCATTTAAAAACTATTTTAATTTAATGGAAATTGATACAAGTAACCTAGTATTCTGGATGTAGTTTGGAAACACTGCTATTTGGCAACTCTCAGATAGCTGGGAACAGAGCAATTTAGAGATGGAACAAATGCAGTTTACAGGGAATAATTTCCTTAACAAATTGAACCCACAAAATATTTAGGAGCAGCCTGTGGTTTCCGCAAATGCATTTGGCTATTTGCACACTTTATCCTATTTAATGGTGAGTTTAATTTTGCCATTAGAGACAAGTGAAGTTTTCTGCAGGTTTTTGTTCCCTGACATGTATAGAGTCCGATGCCACCCTAATCTATCACTCCAATTGGTTCGTATGTCAAATATATGGCCATGTATTCTCCAAATTACATGAGTTGACAATTATGCCAGTTTTTCAGGCTGTTCATGTAACATGTTTTCAATGCTGACTTTTGGTAACCCCATTATAGGGTTGTTTCAGCAAAGTATATTCAGAATATGTTTAACACTGCCTTCTTCTGAGGCTAAGAGTGTTGTGACCTGCCTATGGTTACTTGGTAGGTTTCCATTACTGAACAGGGATTTCAACTCTAGTCTTCTATAGTACTAGTCTAATACTCAAACCACTATGTCATGATAATAGATTGAGATAACCCCTTCAAGTATATAGGAGATCCTACAAGTCTTGGTAGAGTTTTGGGTAATTACAAAGTATATTTATTTACTCTATACCCCGCTTTTCTCAACCCCGTAGGGGACTCAAGGCTGCTTACATATATAGGCAATGATTCAATGCCATGTAAACATACATATATAGTAAAATAAATATATATATTATAACAATAATTAAAACATATCAAACCTTAAAGCAGTTATTAAAATAACGTTATCCAAAATCATAATCTATGGTCTTTCCAAATTCTCATTGTGCTATTCCATAATTCTCTAGTGTGTTATCAACTGAACACTTGATCCCTTTAGGCTTTTCCTGAATGTTTGGAAGGAGGGGACTGATCTGATTTCATTTGGGAGGGAATTCTATAGCCAAGGGGCCACCATTGAGAAGGTCCTGACTCTTGTCCCCAACAACCGCACCAGCAAAGGAGGTGGGACTAAGAGCAGATGATCTTACCCTCCTGGTTAACTAATAGAGGGAGATACATTCAGAAACTGTGGAAGTTATCTATGAACTCTAATAGTGCCTATTTCAGAAATACTTAGAATCCTCCACAAAGTCCTACAAAGTACAATTTTTGCTTTAAAAAAACCCAGCATGGTTATCAAGACACTAGTATTTATAGGGAAATAAACCTCACTAAATTCAATAGGGTTTGCTTTTGAGTAAATGTGTTACTCCTTAAAACAGAGTTTGATGTTTTCAAGCTTTTTAATCAATGTTTTTAAGGGCCAGAGCAATGGGGAGGTAGAAAAGAGGCTATCGTTAACAATGTCCCATAATATGTCAAGAATTTAGTACTATCTATTAAAATAAAGTGACATTTGATGTACTGGTTTATGGCAGTTCCAATTTAAAGGATGTTTTACGAGACTTCTCCTGAGAAAAGACTAAAAACCAACCTCACAGCAGTGGGCCAGTAATAAATTTTCTGTGTCAAATGCCAATCTTACCTGCACTTTGGCATTCACTGCCTCAGGGACTTGGTACTTCAGATCATCAGCTGTTAGTTGGGATTTCGGCAGCAAGAAAGGGTATGACAGGGATCTATATTTGGGTTTCATGATCTTGAAGATAAAACAAAACAAAAACACCCACTGAAATGGACAAAAATATATATTCATAGAGATGTGTATATTTAATTTTAATATCACCCTGAGGCTGAAACTCTGGATGTATTTTCCTGGGGCTTAATTCTGAGGAAATACGGATAGAATTGTATTGCATTTTTCTGGATTGTATTTTAGTTATGTTTCACTCTTAATACAGAAAATGACATTATGCCCACATTCAGAATGGTGACTAACCTCACAGTGTTGGAGCTCCTTAACTGAGATGGAACTGCAGAAATACATTTTCAGTTTGAAAGTTGTAGTTTGAATTATTTTATATTAAAATATATGTCTATTTCCAGCCATATATCTTTGCCTTTTCCACAGTTCTTTCTTCCTTTTGACACTTCACTAAAGGCACAGAGCCATTATTCCCATTTTCAGGCAAATTTGCCAATCAGAATTCCTACTGTCCAATTTTCATCCTTCATTAGTTTCACGAAAGTTGCCTATATAGTTTTTAGGCATGAAAACTAAAACTTCATTTTTTTAAAGCTGAAGAACTGTCTGAGTCTATATTTGTGTGGAATATTGGGTCTGATCTAAACAGGCAAAAGAAAAGAGTGGACTGATAAATACAATTCCCTACAAACACAAACAAAACCCTATACCTACCTTTGTGAAATTCCAGCGCTGAATGAAGTGCCGAGCCACATCCCGTGCAGCTTTTCCATGTACCACAGAAGCAATGTCATGCCATGGCATCCTTGGCATAGTGTAGCGATCAATGAAATCTACGTAAATGAAAAAGGAATTTTGCATAGTAGTATCAGCTGTAACATGGATTTTGCATAGGCAGTGTTCTGTAGAGCACGGCTTCTTAAATGTTTTTCCACTTACAATGCCTTTCCACCCGAGATAATTTTACATGACCCCATATAGATATATAAAATAGATATGTAAAAATCAACCACTTACTGATAACAAACCAGCATTTGCAAGGCTTGCAAAACAGATTGTCCTTTTTAAGAAGTACAATGCAAGTTGTCTAAATCAGAGGAAGGAAAACATACCAGCAAAGGGTTTATCAAGTTGAACCCAGTCTTTGAAGACAAAGTTGCAGTAATCTTTTCCATGCCAAAATCGGGTTTCACCAAGAAGCTCTCCAACACCTGTCTTCAAGCTGCGGATCGAACCTTTATCTGTCCCAAATAATCAAACATATTCAGACCTTGAAAACCTCTTGTTAACAAGTTCTCTCAACACATATTTATTTATTTATTTACTTTACTTTACTTTACTTATATACCACTGTCCTCAGCCCGAAGTTATTGCTCAGCAAGAAACATTCTAGTGTGTGGGCTTAACGTAGCTCCTGGATCTAATTCATATACTTACTCCTTTTCTTATAATTATCTTTTCATTTCTTGCCATGGCTTAGTAACAGAGCATCTGCTTTACATGTAACAGGCCCCCAGTTCAATCCTTGGCCTCTCCATGTAGGATGGAGAAAAGCCCTGAACCCTAAGAAGTCAATGGAAACAAAGATGGGCATGGGCACCATTGTTGTATCTGGAGTTCAAACCTACCCTCAAATATATATTCTTCTTTAATGAAATGTGAAGTGATTTAATGCCCATTTCTGGTATTTTAGGGTTTTTAATTAGAAGAAGCTGCATGAGGTGGCACTATCTGTGATGGCATTTGGATATACTACTCTAAATTTTGCTCCTTTTGAGGTGGCGGAAGTTCACCATAAGCCAGGAATGACTTGAAGGCACATATCATCATCATCATCATCATCATCATCATCATCATCATCAATAATAATAATAATAATAATATTTCTACCCCACCACCATCTCCCCAAAGGGGACTCGGAGCGGCTGACATGAGGCCTAGCCCAAAATTACAGTACAGCAAAATAAAATACAAAGAAGCAAATTAACATCAAAATAGAATACATGAAATAGTCAAATAAAATAAACAATTACTAAATAACATGATAAAAAATAGGACACAATGGGCGGGCCGAATGCACAGGATAAAATTGATAAATTGTATTTAACATTATGCAGTCTGTGTTGTTGACAGATAGCAAAGACACAAAGTAGCAAGCAAATCATTTCAATGTCTAAATCACTCTACTTACACTGAAGTAGTGGCTCTCAACCTGTGGATCCCCAGGTGTTTTGGCCTACAACTCCCAGAAATCCCAGCCAGTTTACCAGTTGTTAGGAATTCTGGGAGCTGAAAACCAAAACATTTGGAGACCTACAGGTTGAGAACCACTGCACTAAAGGATAGCATTATTGAATCATGTTACAGTATTACTTTAAGAATTAATGTGTAACAATGATTACATAATGTATCCAAAATGTTTATGGTATAAAATATATAAAATACAACATATATTCATAGGGTGTTTTATTTTTTACTATGACTGTTTTAGTTTTTGAATCTTAATGTATTAGTTTTATCTATATACATGTTGCCCATGTGTCTATGGAATCTCTATGTCACACCAAAACCTTATGTCTATATATTACATGTTTTAACTTTTTGTGTAGGCTGCCTTGGGAGGCCTTTGAGCATTGGCACATAAATATTGTTAGCCCTTTTGATATGAATATATAATTGATATATTGATGTATGCACTGATTAATACTGATAATATATGTAAGAAATTCTTGGTGTATATTCACACTTTTCCCCTGATCATGTCTCAATCTGAAACACAGCCTACAAAGAAAATGAATCCAGCAATCCTTCCTTCTGAAGTCCTCAAGCTGTGCCAATGTCTAGGTCCAAGTCATCACTTCGTGTTTTATCTCATATGATTGCTACCAATATGTCAACAATAACTCACTCGAATCGCTGTCTACACTGCTCACACTGTCTGCATGATGTAGGCCATGTCTGTGGAGCTGCTTGTAGATGCTGAACCTGGCAAACTTCCTAGGTTTCCCTATCCCTTTCATTCTTGAAGGATCAGGTGGGTCATCAAAGTTGCCATATGATGAGAGTTTTACTGCAGACTCTGTTGGAAGCTCAGTATTTGATGCATCGGTTGTATCAGCTAAAGACTAAGGACAGAAAAGACACAGATTAAGGGCTAATGTAATCAGTTGGGAGGGGATAAAAATACAGAAGGATAGAATCGTTGAGTTGGAAGGCCCTCTATTCATCAAAAGGCAACGATCTTTAATGGATGCCAATCAAATATTTAGTTACAAATGATTACATGGTCTGATTCTAACTAAGCCTGAGATGGGAGGTAACAAGAATCTTAAAGACTCATGGAGCTGGAAAGACCCCCATGGCCCCTCTTATCTAGTCCCCTGGGGAGAGTATACCATCTGGTCATCAGTGCTGGAATCTTCAGTTAAAGAAGTTCTTGCCTTCCTATTATTTATGGCATCCTCTTCCAAGTCAATACAATCCAAAAATATTGGCCTGCAACTCTCAGCCAACACTGAGGAAAATCTCAAAGCTCAGGCATGTTCTTGTGCATGCAAATGAGAGCAAATGCTACATTCAAGTTCCCCAGAATCAGCTTGAAAGTGGAGACATTCCACATCTATAAGCTTGGATTAAAAAAATAATACTTACAGAGAGATTTGTTGAAGACTCAGACTTCGTACTTGTCATCCGTTTTGCACTGCCAACATCAGTTAGCCGATGTTCATTGTCATCCCATCTGCCGTAAGCCAAGTCAATGCCTCCAACAAAAGCAATGGACTGATCAATGACCACTAACTTCTCATGGTGAGCCCACAAATACACAGTAGATGACACATGATCCGGGTGCCTCATCACCTTCGTAAGAAGAAAATCAGGTGCATAATCATTAAAAGCACTAATGGGATTGTATTTAACCATTTGCCTGGCTTTCAATGATGACAAAATGAGGAGAGTATATTACCTGCTCATCTGTGCTTATTTCAAAAAGTTAAAAGAAAATATCCAAAGTTTTCCCTCCTCTTTTTTGGGTGGTGGAGGGTTAAATTAAGAAATGTTTACACATTTTAAATTATTTCATTTCATTTGCTTATATCCTGTAAGACACAAAGCCGAAAAAAGTATGGTGTAGTGATCTGGTTGACACCCCTCCAGAGGCTATTTTGGGGAATGTTGCAACAAAATATTTGACCTCCTGAGGACCCTATGGGTAGAAGGCCATCAATTTGTGCATGATGTACATCCCATTTTTCCATTCTCAGTTAGCTGAGGCTGTAGAATTGCTGGGCCAGAACTTAGATGAAGTAATGGGCTCAATGAGAGCCAATATAAATACCTTAATGTTGGGATGCAAACGCATTAAGGTACGCTTGGTATACTCGCTGTTGATGCCAAGAGCAAGTTCCACCTCTTTGTAGAGCATCACAAAGATTTTCACTCCTTGTTGCTGCCAAAAAAAAAAGAGGAACATTTTCAGATAATATATGTGAGTGTGTCGATATGTATATGTGTATGTGTGTGCACATATAACTAGCTAACTAATTACTGGGGCACAAGAAGAGGGTTTAACTTGATGGTGTGCAAGAATAAGTCATTGGCTACACATGGTATCTCTTAAAAGAGCTTTGCCTGTATGCCGGAAGCCTACTTAACTTCAACATATTCTGAAGCAAGACAAATTACTTCTAGCAAGTCGCCTTTGATAATACGACGACGACTTCTAGCAAGGTTTGAACCCCTGCTTGGACGCAAATATCCATTGGATGATCTTGGGCAAGTCGCATTATCTTTATCTCAGAGAAAGTCATGACAAAGACCTATCTAAATAAAACTTCCCAAGAATACTCTACAATAGTTTTGCCTTAGGGCATGTTTAGGGTGAAAATAAGTTGGAAGTAACTTGAAGTTGTGCAACAAGAAGTCATTGGTATGCAGTGGAATATTTCCCACAAGAATATTGTTTCATCTTCCAATCTTTTTCTTCCAAAAGCAAATGTAAAAACCCACAAATTTTAAAAAACTTTCATTGCCAACAATGCCTCTGAAGGAGGTCAATATTTTTACATGCACTGCTTTCTAGATATTACTACCTATCTGTTGCTTTCAGATTTGTGACATTTTAAAACATTTTAAACAGTGACATATTGATATGTATTATATTGATAACTTATCTAAAGATTAAAGATAGTGTGCACGTATTTTACATCAACAGGCATGTAATTCTTTAGCATTGAAATTTGGAGCTAAGCTTAATGCAACAGTTGCACAACTCCCTGTTGCATGAGTTCATTTTCTGTGTTCATGGAAAAAAGACAATGTTCAGCAGCTGGGCAGTGCAACAGAGCCTGTGGATGTACTGCAGCCCCACATGAACCAACACTAGATGCCAGCACTGTCATTCTGCCTAGATAATGTGGAACTATGCCAGCTGATTTTTTCACTTTGCTGGCACTGAATTGAACCTTGAACTGAAAATTCTACCCAGCCTTTATCTCTATTCCTCAAATTTCAAGAGATATGGTTGACAACATAAAAGCTTATTTTTCAACCTGCATTTGCTTTTTAAAATAGTGAGTTCTGAAATTCTAGAATGACAATTTATAAACCCAATAACAACAACCTTTTCTGCCAAAGGTTTTTATTTTCACATTTCCAAAACATAACAGCGCATTTTAGAACATTTGCAATACTCTCTGCTGGATGTTTTATGTATTTAAATGTATCATGTTTTTGAATGAGTGGCATTTTATTTTCAGCGAACAGTACTTGGCATATTACAGGAAAGATTACAATCGAGGGATAAGGTACAAGGCTTTCCTGTTTTGTTCCTGGATTCCTGCCTAAAGGCTAATGATGGGAGTTTTTCTTATCTTACCAACATGACTAAGAAAGAGACTATAAAGCAGGAGTGGGTTTAGAGGCACCGTTGGTTCCAAGGAAACCTTGGATAGCTGTATTCTTTGCATAAGCAAACTGCACCCCAATGTCCCCAAAACACCCAAGGGAGTGTTGGAGGACAATTTCAACACACTTCCTTTTGGACTATTTAGGCTCAGAACAGGCCTTTTATGAAATATAAAATGACCTGGAAATTAACTTCTGTGTCACTTTCTGTTAGAAGAAAAAAAATGTGTTTCCTGGAACAAAAGCATCCATGCCCCTCTCCCCTCAAAAACTTGACAAAATTGCCACCTTGTCACTTAAAAGGGGGTCACTGATGTTCAGTCCTGTGAAACAAACACAGGCATGGGAAATTCACTAAAGAGATAAATCTGTCTCCCTGCCACTCACATCCAGAGAAGAGAAAGGCCCCTCACTAGAAATGAAAGGTATATATATGTGTGTGTGTGTGTTTATAGAGATACATTGTGCTCTTACATTGTTTACACCTCCAGTCTGATGTAATTTAGAATGACAAAGATTTGGATAGATTTTGTTAAGAGCCCAGATATAACTAGTTATTCTACTCACTGTACCAAATTTCCTAAAAAGTCTTCTTAAACAAGAAAAAATCCATTGATCTGGGCTTAGATATCCTGGGAAATCAAAGCAAGCTTTCATTACTTTTGGACAAACTTGCCCTTTCATTTCATCTCTTCTCAGTTTCAGCAAGATTTCTTTTATCATTCTTCATATGAAACACTTTTCATTCTCCTCTTCCCCTCCACTTCTCTCTCTGATGGGTATATAGCAGCTTTCCTTTAGTTGGTACTCTTGATATATTTGGGAATTCCCATCCAAACATCAGAGCTTATGTTCAGAAATGCGAGGAGCTGTGATCTCTTTGACATTAAATCGAATCATGTCTGACTCTGGGGTGTGTGTGTGTGTGTGTGTGCTCATCTCCATTTCTAAGCTGAAAAGCCGGCATTGTCCATAGACACCTGCTAGGTCATGTGATCGACATGACTGCATGGAGTACCGTTACCTTCCCGCCAAAGCAGTACATATTGATCTACTCACACTTGCATGTTTTCAAGTTGCTAGGTTGGTAGAAGCTGGGCCTAACAGCAGAAACTCATGCGCTCCCCAGATTAAAACTGCTGACCTTTTGGACAGCAAGTTCAGCAGGTTAGCTGTTTGACATGCTGTGCCACCAGGGCGCCCTTCCCTCTCCATACTAGTAGCTTATAAGTAGGAAGAAGCCCTTGGTCTGATTCAGGATGGCCTTTCTTATCTCTATATGTGCTTGATTGTTATTGTTGAATTTCCCATTCAGGACCAAAGTACAGCACAACACTGAAAGAAAGAACCAACTTTGCTCACTTTTTTGACCTGTAAGAACTTGGACAGGCAATTAAACTGCACTGGTAAAGGTCTTTGAGGTGGTTGGTGATTGAAAGTTCTCATTAAAATCAGCTTTCACCCAAAACTCAATAACATGGTCCAGCCAACATAACAATAAAGCATGGATGCAGCCAACTGATATGCTCTCATAATTAGATCTCTATCTTCTTGGAGTAGATCGATGCCTACCATTAGCAATGTAATGAGTCCATTTTGAATGGAGACACATATAATAAATCATGTCATCAGGGGATGGTATCTTTCTGAAAGATCCATTTGCAGTACTGCCACAACTGCCATTTGCATCATTTCACAGTCGGTGCCTTGGAATACAGCTGCCACTAGATATGAACACGGGTCATATAGTTCCTTCCATTTTGTTATGAAAAGGAGCTAGCCTTTTTGAGCAGTTAAGTCAATTATTGGACATGCTTCATGACCTGGATCCTTGCTGTGGTAATTTATAAGCAAGGAGAGTCTCCGCAGATGTCCTCTTTTCTGACATTTTGTTATTCTTGCCTCTTTCTCAAAAGGAGAGAGGAAAGGAGGATTTGTGCAGAAAAGGAAGCAAGAGAACAACAGCAATTGGGCAGAAAGTGTGACAAGCTGACTTCAAATGGGGTCAGCCTATTTTGCCAAGGGAATTTGCAATTTGAACCACACACATTTTAAATACTCTTATACTCCATAACTATTCTTATCATAACATGGACAAGAGTGATGTTGCCCACATTGTCTCCTCTAATATCTCCATTGTCTCTGGGTCTAGTTCAAACTCTCCAGGTTGCACTCTCCAGGTTGCACCTCCAGAAAGGAGCCCCCGGTGGTGCAGCGGGTTAAACCCCTGTGCTGGCGGGACTGAAGACCGACCGGTCACAGGTTCAAATCTGGGGAGAGGTGGATGAGCTCCCTCTACCAGCTCTAGCTCCTCATGCGGGGGCATGAGAGAAGCCTCCCACAAGGATGATAAAACATCAAAATCATCCGGGCGTCCCCTGGGCAACATCCTTGCAGACGGCCAATTCTCTCACATCAGAAATCTCTGAGGGCTACTTTTCTTATAAAAGAAGGACACTGCCGGTCTGCCAAGTTTTAAAGTAATGCACACACACACATATCAGCACATACATTTTAAAAAACCCACAGCAGAAATGGCCTTCTGGGTATTCTAGAAAGAGATAATGTAGCTTGCTGGAAGTCCAGGGGTGATGGGAAATGCCTCCTGGACCTTTCAAAGATGCCTACCTCTGCTATACAGGAAATGCTGCTACTCAACATAAGCTCTGGGGACCGAAGTTATAATTCCAGTTAAGACAAAAATTGAAAAAAAATGTGTGAAGAAGATATTATTGTGTTGTAGTTGAGAGTGCCAGTCTGAGACTTGGGAGATTATAATGTAGTGCAGACATGAGCAACTACGCTGAAACCAGGGGCCACTTTTTCTTCCCATGTCTCCATGATGGGTTGAATCAACATATGATTTCTGGACTCCTTTCACACTACACAATAATTATGCCATAATCTCACCGTAACTTCCTATTTAATCCTGGGATTCATAGTTTGGATTTGGGGAGCCACTATAGTTCTCTGTCAGTCCTCCCAAAACTCTTTTAGGATTCCATAGATGTCAAAATGAAAAAAATGGAAGCATAGTGTTATAATTGTGCAGCACTATAAATTGTGCAGCACTGTGAGGATGCTATAAGGCTATAACTCTGAAGTGTGAGAGGATCCCAAGTGCCAGTTTTGCTTGATTTTTTGGCCATTTGGAAATATATGGGCAGTTTTTAAGGGTCAATGTGTTTCTGAGCTGTTCTGGGGTGAAAAACTATCCTTTTCTTTTTAAAAAGGTGCTCAGGGTTTCAAGGCACTAATCTAAGAAAACTATCTCAGGCCCCTTCTACACAGCTATATAAAATCCAGATTATCTGCTTTGAATTGGATTACATGGCAGTGTAGACTCAGATAATCCAGTTCAAAGCAGATAATGTGGATTATTTGCCTTGAAATTCTGGATTATATGGCAGTGTGGAAGGTCCTCTGCCACCAGTTCTCTAAGGCTTCTTCCATACTACCTCTATATCCCAGGATCTGATCCCAGATTAGTTTCTTATGCCAGATTACCTGGCAGTGAAGATTCATATAATCCAGTTTAAATCAGATAATCTGGGATCAGATCCTGGAATTTAGGGCAGTATAGAAGCCCCTTAGGTAATCATGCAGATGAGCCAATACCCAAACTCAGCCTACTTGTCAACATTTTGCAATGCTTGGAGATCAAGGCATACTTACAGCTTTCCTCCTCAAAATACAGTCTAATCTCCAACGATTTCCTTCCACCACTGGACGCTTCATGAATATTTCAGGGCTCAGCCTGAAGAAAAACACACAAATGTGACATCAAATATATATTTAAAAATGAACATACCTTCAAGGAGATAGAAACTATTGGGCTAGGTGGCATCACAACAAGGTGAAAGCAGGTCCCTTCACAACTTTGGGCTGTAGGTCCCCAACAAGAGCATATGCTCTGCGGGGAAGATGCTTCTGGCATCTCCAGATAAAACTGAGGGCCTGACTACATGGGCCACATAACTAAACTGGGTGCAAGGTTCCTCCTGGATGTCCATGTGACTTATGGACTCTAACATGGGGTGAAACCATTTAAGCCAATTTTACTCTCCATCAGTAGATGTTGGGGGAATGCTCCGGGGCTTCTCTGGTATGAAGAGCTGGGTCAGTTCTGGTTCAAACTATGATTCCAGGATTTATGTATTTTTTTAAAAAGTTTCAAATCCTTTCATTGGGCTGCTAAAGTAATGAGAAAAGTGAGTAAGGTAACAACAACTTTTTTCCATGGGTAGCAGACGCCCAAGGTGAAAGCTAAGCACCAGTTTTATAGAAACTTCTGCCTTCAGTGTGTGTGTGGTTCTTTTTTTAATGGCTGGTTCTTTTTTGTTTCCCAGCCAAGTGTCCTGAAAAGGCCTCTTTAGGGGGGAAAAATCCCACAACAACAAACCCTCTCTCTATGAGATGGTTGTTTCTGCTGCCAAACCATCTGGTCCCGCTGTGAGGTTTCCATGCTGAAAAGGGCCCCGAACAGTGCAGCCTTGTCATAAAATGTTCTGTGAGGTATCTGGCAAGGGAGGAGGAATATGATCATGCAAATTAAATACAAACCACCAATCTGTGATGAAAATCTCTTCTTTGGCAGCCTCCATTGCATTTGCAACGTCTTCAAAGTACCCCTTTGCATTCACATACCTAGGAGCAAAATATTTCAAGTCAGAGTCACTCCTTTTAGTAATTAGCACCTTGTTCTGAGGTGAAAAATTGCCCTTTTACAAAAAAGAAGCTCAATTTATATATATATATATATATATAGAGAGAGAGAGAGAGAGAGAGAGAGAGAGAGAACCCTGCCATCATCTCCCCAAAGGGACACAGGTTGGCTCATAGAAGCACTCTAAGTGCCACATGCAGACAATAATACATAAGTATAAATACAAAGACATATGTATAATCAAATGCATATTTAAAAAATCGCATTAATAAAACATAAATAACTGAAAATTATAAAATTCCTAAAACACAGTGGAACCTGCCAGCCGGCTTTATGTCATAACAATCAAAGTGCAGGCCAGTACTGTCAATAATTCATCACATCAGGATCAAAGGCCTGTCTGAACAGTCATGTTTTAGATTCACCCAGAAGCCTGAAGAGTAAGAGCTAAACTAATTTCTTTAGGGAGAGTATTCCAGAGCCAAGAAGCCACCACCGAGAAGGCCCTCTCTCTCGACCCCACCAACCATGCTTGAGACAGTGGTGGGACCTAAAGAAAATTTCATTCATTCATTCATTCATTCACACACACACACACACACACACCTATATCTATATATATATGTGTGGCATAAGCAATCCATGGTTCTAAATGGTTCTAAAGTACTTACAAAACTAGAGGGCACTGGTGCTTTGCTCCTAAAGTGTTGCTAAAGCTGGTGCTTTGCTTCAAAAGTGTTGCTAAAATTCTGCTGGTGAAAATTTCAGAACTCTAACAAAACTTTCAACATTTTGTTATTATTTTTATTGGCAATTTTTATGGCAGAATCAATTAGGAACTGCCATTTATAATGAAATTTTGAAAGTTTTGTTAGAGTTTTGAAATTTTCACCACCAGAACTATAGCAACACGTTAGAAGCAAAGCACCAATGCCCCTTAGTTTTTTAAGTACTTTAGAACCATTTAGAATCATGGATTGCCCATGCCCAAATATATAGTTCATTTTAGCATGAAAAAATATAAGGGGACCTAAATATTAAAACTAAATAAAGGATAAAGGAATGAAATTTTGTGTCCACAAAAACTCATGATAGACATTTCATTTTCCCAGTTAGTCTCCAACCGACTATTGGAGTCCCTTGGGTGTAATGGCAATGGAAATATGACCGAATGAACAACCTCACATGCGTCTTCATACATAAACTGTAGAATATTTACAGGCTTTTTAAAATGGCTAGTTCTCCAACCCACATTTCCTTTTCTACTGTCTTCAACTGAATGTGCTCATTCTTCATCTGATAAAAATGTCCAATTGCTTCTGTAATGGAACTTAAACATAGTTAAAACACCAGCCAGGGATTTGGTTACTCAAACAAGAGTTAATAAGAAAGAGTATAAGAACATAGGAGAAACCTGTGCTAGATCAAACAGATTCATCTAGTTCACTAGTTTCTTTTCATAGTAGCCAACTATTGTTCTATGATTTTATGGTTGCAGAGGCCCAGCACAAGAACCTGAATGCAATTCTCCAACAGATATACAGTGGCCTCTTGGTATCCACAAGTGTTTGGTTCCAGGAGCTCACATGGATAGCCAAAAGCATGGATACTGGGGTCCTTATAAATAAATTCTTTAGGCTCCTCTGCTTCTAGGGAGTATGGCAAACATCCTATTCTGCCTTCTGATGATTGGTTGAATCCATGAATACTGAGTTTGCAGATATAGTGGGTCCATTGTAGATATGGGTCTACTAGAATCAAATGGGCTCATTATTATTGGGATTACAGGGTTATAGTTAAGTCTGAAAACCAAGATTTCCATCCCTTCTTTGAGGAAGTTCCTATGCCATTAACAGGTACACAATACACAGAATAACAACAGGCCTTCTGTTAATGAATCTTGAGACTGGGAAGAGCTACCAGAGCAGTGTCCCACCCAATCTTACCATTTTGCTAAGGTGTTCTCCTGGACAGCTGCATAAGAACCAAACCGATGATGCTGGAGAAAGTTCTTGCCATTTTTCTGTATGAATGCTTCTATTCCTTGACCCCACCAGAGAGCATGTCTATAGCTATTGCATTTCAAAATCAGAGACCTGGGAGGGAAAAGAAAGACAACATGATGGGAAAGGAAAGAGGAAACCTCGCAGCCCAATTTTGAACGGAGGGAAGAATTTTATTTTATTATCAATGGGCATAGCTTTGTTTGAGAGACTTGATTCAACATCTAGAATTATGGAGATGGGGATGTACATTTTAATCAAAATTATAAGCCACCTTACCCTCACATTGGGGAAAAGATAGAATATTCATTAATTAAATATGATATTAATTAATTAAACTCCAACCCTCTTCCACTGAGAAAAACTTCTTTTTGTATTCTTACAGAAAACTGGCAGAAAGAAGATTAATACCTTGTTCAATGCACAAAAATGACCTTTTGCCACTAAGCAGCATGCAGGATTTGTAACTGAGTGACCTGAGTTGAAAGTCCTGCTAGTTGGACTTGATGATTGATCATATCTGAAATTCAGTTACCTATTCACATAACAAGAAATGTGACTGAGCTCAGTGCTGTTAGCAAGAATGAGATCCAAAAATTCAAAGTTATTCCCAAATTCAAAGTGCTTTCAATATGATTGATAGACAGCATTTTAGGACAATTTTACTTAAAGTGATAGACAGTTCATTAATCAGTACAATTTCATGAGCCATCCATTGCTGGTTTATAGTGGGGTTGATACTTGTCCATGGGATATGTACTGAATACCACATCAACTCTAAACAAAAAGGCTTTATACTTTAGTATTCTCATGGGTTTCTTGAATAGCCATGAAGAACCCATTCAATTACAAATTCCAGGATGTTGAATTTGGTTACACTATATTAGCTCTTTGTAGCTACCAAAGAGGTTCAAATCTATTAAAAAATAAGCATGGCAACTGGGGAATTCTGGGAACTATAGTCCATAAAATTACATTTACCACCTCTGCTTGTTATATCGACATGTGTTACGGCTTGGAAACACATGTAAAACACTTTGCAGACTACAAATGATAGGCAAATAATGAGGAATAGCCATGCAAAGTGAGATCTATAAAATTCTCACCTGGAGAGATTGTCTATTCGAAGTCCATATTTTGTTTCTGTTTCCTTCTTGCCAATCTTTATTCTGAATTCTTTATCTACCAGGAGGACAAAAGAAATGGCTCCACTGTCTGGCTTCATGTACAGTAGAAAAGAATCCTTTACTACTAACCACCTGGGAAAGAGATTCAACAAATGTATATTCAGTTGAGCTCCAATTAATCAGAATATTATTTACATATTTATTTACAATAGTTTCAGATGGTCCCTCTGTTCAAGACAACAACAAAAAAGTTACAAAAACTACAAAGCGCTGGGCCTTGTACAAGAATGTCCCTAGTTAACCAGACATCACATTTTGTTTTGTTTTGTTTTTCATCTTCAATGCCCACCTGCAATCTTTGCTTTAAACACAAATACAGACTTCTAGCCAAAACTCAAATGGCAAAAGTAGCCGATTCAATTAATGGTAAAAAAAACTGTTGCTCACTTTTGTGCAATGTGAATTTCCTGTAACATACTACCTTGTCAATTGTGCTGGAATACCACAAGTGGTTTACTGCAGAAAACATGCTTTCTTCTTTTTAAATCTGAAAATTGCCTTAGGTTCCAACAACTAGAATACGAAAAAAACTCAGATTGAATGATGCTCTTGGTGTGAGCCAGCTGAGTGCCTTGTACAAACTCCACCTCTTCATGTGAGTCCCCTCTTGTAGCCCTTGTATAACCTGGATAAATACAAGGGCTGCAAGGGGAAGCTGAGACAGTGTCAGTGTTCATTGTCTCTCTATCTCATGAAACCCAGTTTTCAAGACAATATACTCCATGGTCCCAGCACAGTAAGGCCAATATGTTCAAGTCAGTTTTCCTAATGGTTTATTTATAAAGGTACACTTACTTAACTCCATCAAGCTTCAAGGAAAGAAGCTTTGGTTTTGACAATATTTAATTGCCTAGCAACAGCTCCATGGCATTAAAAAACACAGATTGGAGTTCTGAGGGGTTTTTTTCCTATGCAGTTTTTTGTACGCTCAGCACAGACTTCCAAGTACCGTGGGAGAAAAAAGGGAGGAGAATTCCTTTTCATTTTAAAGTTATTTATATTTTCTAGGTATGTGTGCATGTAATACATGTTTTGTAAGATCCTATTCTTGGAGTGGATGCATTTGACTGAGGAGGAGTAGATACCACTCTAGTGTCTTAACCATCTGCCTATTGAGATCGCTTCTAAGACCCTTTCTACACTGCCATAAAATCCGGATTATAAAACAGATAATCCACATTATCTTCTTTGAACTAGTTTATATGAATCTACACTACCATATAATCCAGTTCAAAACAGATAATCTATATTTTAAATGGCAGTGTAGATGGGACTTAAGTTATTCTCCAGATCATGAGGACTAGTGCCACCTTAACATCCTTTAGTTACTTCCCGATGGATATAGTAAAGATCGGTCCAGACCCTACCTATGTAAATGCAGATTTAGTGGCATCAGAGCCATTCTACATATTCTTCTCCAATCATGAGGTCAGGCAAAAGCAATTTGCATAGGACTTCACATGCAACGTTCCAGAACACACAAAAATGCAACTGAGGTTATCAGGAATAGTATCTGGATGTGACAAATGAGCTCAGTGGAAACAATGATTTTAGTATAATATGGACTTTCCCACTAAGTCAAAGGCAAAACTTCTGCATCATGTTTGCAAAATGAAGTTCTTCAATACAAGTCTTGTGATTCTCAACAAGGACAATAAAGCAGGGGACCACAATGCACATTTACTAAGCTGCTTCAAAGGCTTTTTTGCATTTGTTTCTAGCACACAAAGAAAGACATTTCCAAAAATGGAGAAGAAAAAAATAGACAGATGGCAACTATGTTGTTGAAAAAGGAAATGGTTTAAACAGAACCATAATCCTAAACATGTCTACTCAGAAGCCTGCAACCGGATTTGAAGTCTAATAAATCTGTTTGAGCTGAAACTGTGGCGGCTGTTATTGGTATGACTTCCATACTGGGATGGTGATGAATCCATTTTGGATTTTGACCTGGTTTGGCTGGAAAATCTACCCAAGGTGATAAACAATATCATCCAAATAGTTTAAGTTCTTTGGATAGCTTCATTAGAATCACAGAATCATGGAGTTGGAAGAGACCTCGTGGGCTATCCAGTCCAACCCCCTGCCAAGAAGCAGGAAAATCACATTCAAAGCACCCCCGACAGATGGCCATCCAACCTCTGTTTAAAAGTCTCCAAAGAAGTAGCCTCCACCACACTCTAGCGCAGAGAGTTCCATTGCTGAAACAGCTTTCACAGTTAGGAAGTTCTTCCTAATATTCAGGTGGAACCTCCTTTCCTGTAGTTTGAAGCCATTGTTCTGTGTCCTAATCTCCAGAGGAGCAGAAAACAAGCTTGCTCCCTCCTCCCTATGACTTCCCCTGACATAATGTCTTTTCTCAGCCTTCTCTTCTGCAGACTAAACATGTCCAGCTCTTTAATCTGCTCCTCATAGGGCATGTTCTCCAGACCCTTCATCATTTAAGCAGGTGGTATCTGCTGCTTCTGGGGCAAAGCGTACATGAGTAAAAAACAGGTGGCAGGAAAGAGGCAATGAATAGATTATGCTGGAAGAATTGGGAGGAACCAGTCATAGCTCTAAAGCAGAAGTCAGCTTTTTGAACAATAACACATAACTGAATCTGTCTTTTTAAAATGTTTCTTTTACACAGAATAAAGATTTTTTAAAAATCCAAAAACTTTATATTAATTAATATAATGAATTATGCTGCTAAGCATTGCTGTCTCAACATTGACTCCTTTGTTTGTAAAGCTATAGCTGGACATATATATCAGTTAACTTTTTAATTCCTTTCTGGTATATCACTTTAATATTGTTATAGAGCAGGTGAAGGAATCATGTAGATGTGGCTACCACCATTACTAACAAGTGGTTATGCTGCTTCGGGCTGTTTGGAACTGCAATCTAAGAGTATCTGGGAAGTTGGATATATTTCCCCTGTATTACACATCCTGACTATTCAACATGAGTTTGCTTTACAATACACTTTCTGTACTTGGATCGCTGTCTGGAATAAAAACATCCCAAAAATGGTGAAATTGCCATTTCTGCTAAATGGTGAATTAGCAGAATATCAAAATATGGTCAATGAAGTAAATTATTTCCAGAATGATTCTATGATTCTAAGAAGAACTTATAGAACTAAATACAAATGGGAATTTGCATTTAATATAATATGCTTCTGTTTGTTTCCAGATTCAGACTCCTATTTCAAGAATTATATAGGAGTACTATTACAGGTCTTGCCCCTGCAAAGAGCGCATGCTCAATACACACAGGGCAGCTGTTGCGGATCATGAATTATTTGTAGAACCTGCAGCTTATGAAAGCATCAGCAGGTGTTGCTGTCAATATGTTCAGTACAAAGATCCGAGAACAATTCTGAATTAAAAACTGTAAAGAGAAATATCCACAAAGATACCTTTTGGACCATCGGTAGCAGAGTCTTCCTTGCCCACAGCAATTCAGGCCAGGGATTCTGTGACCTCCAGACCTTTTCATGATCATACCCTCTCTGAAAGTAAAGGAAGAAGAAGAGAAACGTTACTTTAGCGAGCTCCTGGAAAACAGCTTAGCAGGAAGCTGCCATGGAGCTATAGGAGCTCAAGACCTACTCACTCTTGAAAATTTCAGGCAGAAATTTTGATAATGAAAGAATTAACCTAAGTTCATCCTCGTTTTCCAAAGGTAATGCTAATGCAACCCTTTAAAAGATGGGTGGAAGCATGCCACATATGGATGTTGTTGGACTGGAACTCCCTTATCTTTGGTTCAGTTGCATAGGGTTGGTCAGACATCCAAAGTTCAACTTGAGGAAATCTACAAGAGGCCCACGATTTGCCCAACTGGGGGTTTAATTGTTCAGGAAAACTTGCATAGGTTGACACTGTTAGGTTGAATAGCACAGACAGTCTTGGAACAGAATATCTTATGTAATTTGTTGGATCATGTAAAAATCAGTTGGTGTGTTAACTGAAAATGCAAAGCTCATTGGCTCAGCCATGCCCAGAAGCTAGCTGAGCCTGGGACTTCTGGCAATAGTTACATATTCAGGCTACTAGCGATGCAGGAGTTTGCAGAGAGAGACAGTTTATTTATTTTATTTATTTCGAGGTTTTATATACCGACCCTCTCACCTTCAAAGAGGGATTCGGACCGGTT